ATGTCAAGTCCTTATAACAGCACCATGACTAGACCTACTAACACATAGTTAAAGAATGCAGGTAAGGATATCAGTAAAATTAAGTGCAAACAAGCAAGTTTTTAAGTTAACTATGTGCGTATTTTATCCAACCCTATTAGTGTTAGATTATGGCACTTATGCCAGAGGAAACTTATGTAGCGTTGACCTGGAGTCACAAGGCCCCACGAGAAGGACCGGGAAAATTATACTCTCAGGCAGGCACAATTTCTCCCAAACCTATTTCATGGGCATAAGAGAATGTTCATATCTTCTCCACCCATTAGGATGGATGGCTTGGTGATGGTGGTGGGGAAATAGTTCTTTGGCCTGATGGCTCTATTCTCTCTCCTGGCTGATGGCCCCATTTCCTGATTATATCTACCAGAGAGAGCATGGCTGTCTACCACAGCACTCATGTGACCACCATGAAGAGATTCTTCCATTCTTAAGGTACGTGCAGGGGTTCTGCAGCACAGAAACCAACTGGGCTCACAGTTGCATTTGAGTTCCATACTGCACGTGTGCCAAGGCCAGGATTTAGCACAACTGATTTTAAAAGGTCTTTGAAATAACTTCTAAAATGAAATTTTTAAAATTTTGAGAGCTAAGTTTATGGAGATGCAATGTGTTAAATCTAGGAATATTTGTTAAAGCACTAAGAAAAGGAGGACTTTTGGTACCTTAGAGACTAACCAATTTATTTGAGCATAAGCTAAAGCACTGGCACTAGATACAAAGAAATGAACCAATTCTGAAAACCCTTACTCATGGGAGTAGCCCTTGCTCATGTATGTAGTTCCAATGACCGCAAATGGAAGTACTCAGAATAGCAGATAGCTAATGTGAGTAAAGGTGGCAGGATCTGGCCCAGAAAACTAAATAATTTCAAATATGATATCAGAATAACCTCAAAGCTTCAAAAATTATTTGTTTTGAAAGAAAGCTTACATTTAAAATCTTAGAGAAATATTAGAAAATTAAGGATCAGATTCCGGGGTGCAGCTGAACTACAGAGAATGCAGATCAGGGGCATACCTGCTCAGGGCTGCTCTAACTTAACCTGGCTGTAGGCTAAATACTTGCTCCAACAAGTTGAAACTACAACAAGGGATTGGTGTCACACAAGATCTGTGCCACTGGATGATCACCTGCATAGTAGGCTGATCTTCCCCAATTCAGATTCCACCAGCAGTGCAATTCCAAAGGGCAGTACCATACTTGAGAGCCTCGTCCTAACACCTATAGGGTTAGCATTCAGGTTCTTTAAAAATGACAAGCATCCATTGGGACAAATAATACAGTGAAAAGATAAAGTAAGATTTGTATATTTTCTTTGCAGGTAGTGGGAAGGATAGTCTTAAGCAAGCTAAGGAGCCGATCCTACAAAACATTATTCATGTGGCTATTCCATATTCACACAATTAGTTCCTTAGGGCCTGATCCAGCTCAAATAAAGTCAGTGGGTTGCCATTGACTTAAATGGGATGGAATGGCCCATCGATTTCATAAGGATAAGGATTGCAGGATCAAGTCCTAATATCAGACTATGTCCTGAAATTTATTTTTATGCCTAACTACCACTGGCTTCAAAAGACGTTGTACAAAAGGACTGATAGGATGACTTGTCTCTAACCTGGAAACAAATTAATTAAGAAAGAAAACTCATACCTTATTATCACAGATAAATCATATTTGAAAAACTGCATTCAACTGAAGGCAATGATAGGTGACCCAGGTACATCCGTGGGCAGAATTAGGCTCAAAATCAGGTAAAAATTATTACTCAGAGTAAGTATTTTACTCAGTAATTCCCTTAAATACATGTAATGAAGCATATATTTCAAGATGCAAAAACTACCTCTATATTAGCTAATTCTAAAACTCTGAATACTGTTATAGTCATTCACAATTTTATTGATTCTCTACTTTAGAATCAGAAGAAAACACAAGGAAAAAGTATGAATATTTGTATATACTAAAATATACACATTATCTGTTCAACAAATAAAAAATATCAACAGTTTGTCTGTTCATGGTGGGATTTTAAAAAACACCAAGCCACTTAGGATCAAAAGGCCCATTGAAAGTCAGAAAAATACTCCTCATGAAATCAGTGGCCCATTTAAGTCAATGGCAAAACTCTCACTGATTTCATTCAAGAAGGATAAGGCCCAAAAGAATTGTGTAAGCACAGCATATCTGCATGAATGAGATTTTGTAGGCTTGGGTCCTTAACTTGCTTAAGGATATCCTTCCCACTACGTGCATAGGAAATAGAATAATTTCTTACTTCCACCTTTTCACTGTAATATTGGATTATTTGTTCTAGTGGACGCTTGTCATTTTTAAAGAACCTGAATGTTAAACCTGCAGATGTTAGCGACCAGACTCTGCACTACAGTGTAGCCATTGGAATTGTACTGTCGGTGAAATCCGACTCAGTGTGGATCAGCCCAGGACATGGGTGATTCTTCAGTGGGGCTGAGCTGGTGGGCGGGCTTCTTAGATAATACCACAGTCAAGGGGATTTGTACCTCTTAGACACTTTTGAAAATCCAGTAATATTTATGCCTGATCCTGCAACCAGCACTCAATCAAAGTTTAAAGTTCTAGTGGCATGAGCAGACTGCAGAATTGGGCTCAGATTTTGATGCAACTCTGCTCTCTTTTTGCCAGTGATTTCAGCGGGAGTACAAGGCCTGTTTTTATAAGACAAACTATTGTCAGACAACATTTATGAAAAAGCAAAACATAAGGTAGCATAAATATAAAATATCTGAATGACAAACATAATGATAGGCATTAAGATCAGTGACACTAAGCTGTTATAAAAGTAGTTTTTATAATGAGACAATCATTACATCATCAAAGGCAATAACTGGTTGTGTTTTATCTAAAGTAATAAATATTCGTCATCTTTCAGAGTTGAGATATATAAACTGCTTGTGACAGTTTTGTTTTTTCCCCCAAAGTTGCTTACAAAATTCTAGGGCCAGTCTTAGTTGATGTGGAAGATGGCTGAAGCTGAAATTTAATTTAAAAAGCTTATCCGTTATATAAACCACACTAACCACCCAATAATAGACAAAGAATTGTGTCTAGACTTGAAGGAGGTCAGGAAATTCTGCCATGGGAATGTATCCCCAGCTTTTCTATGTTATGGAATAACTGCTGATGTGTTGGTTTACCAGCTGCTACAAAGTAACTTTACTATTGCTTTTCACAAACTTGCAGGTAAGATTAGGTTGGGTTTTGGTTTTGGGGGTTTGTTTTTTTGTTTTATTTTGTGTTAATTCTCTAATGGAATCTGTTAAGATTTTATCTAATGACTCTTTTGGAGTCTTAAAATTTCTACCTAGAAATAGAAAAATGTCTATTTAAAAAAAAAGTTAACAGTTTTAGGCTAAGACTTTGGTTACTAAGTTCCAGCACTTTTTATAATCAGTTTATAAATCTGTGAAAAAAAGAACACAAAAACAGAAATTATGCTGACAAATTTCTAGGGTGGCCAATGCCTGTCTGAATGATTATTATAGGTGCGTCCTTCACAGTTAACTCTGGGAATGCAGGACGAGTAGTATAATCATTTGATACTAATATGCTTTCTAGTTTAAAAAGAGATATTCTTCATTCAAGTGCTGGATTTACTTTTTAACTTGAAAGTAGGTTCGCTTAGACCACTGGTTCCCAAACTGGAGTTTGCAAAATGTTACAGGGGGTTCTTGGGAAAAAATTCCCTAATGGCGGACAAAGCTGTCCCTAGAGACCCTAGGTAGCAAGGGCCAGTGGCCCGGAGCCCCTAGACTTCCAAGAGCTAAGCAGATAAAAGCAAGCATATCTATCACACTGAGGAGCTTTAAACTTCAAGATTCCTTATAAGAAATGGAAAGGGAGGTGCATATTTTTTGCTGTTTTAAAAATTAAAGAGGCAACTAGTATTGTTTTTAAAATTATTATGAAGAACAAGTTTAAGCTTTGTTGTAACGTGTTGTTTGCCTGGACTACTCAAGACCTGAATGCTTGTGTAAGAGGAACTCTTTGAGTTGGCTTCTTAAATACCTTCATGCTGTTACACATCTGATACTACTTGATGAAACATACGAGTCTTGTCTTATAACAGGCTTATTCAAAGTGACACAATCTATGAAAGTGAGATCTTGGAAGAGTGTTTTCATTTTCATAATGTAATAAAAATACTGTAATGATAAATAATAATGTCTAATAAATAGGGTGTAATAAGCAAGTCATAAAAACAAATTTTATATTTCCAAGATCACTGCTTTTATAATTTATACTCAGGTAAAGGAGAAAATCCCGGGAAATATTCATTTTTAGGAGAGGGTTTGCGAGACTTGACATTTTAGTGAAAGGGGTTCACAGGTTGTGAAAATTTGGGAACCACTGGCTTAGACTGATGTGTTCCTGCAATTCCCCCTTCCTTGTTTGTTGTCATCCTTTGACATGTTATGACTTATTTGGACCACAGTCTTAAAACACTTGTGTACATGACTTTATTCCCCTGAAGAGTCCCATCGAACTCAGCACAGCTTCTTGAGTAAAAGAATTCACATGCACATTTACAGGACCGGGCTACCTAAACTGCTCTGCTGGGCACCGACCATCAGCTTTTGACCTGTTCTGTAAATCACTAAGCACATCTTTGGCTGCATAAACAGCATTTATTTCTGGATAACTAAGCAAAATGGCAGAATTCCCTCAGCTAGAGATGACACCTGAATCCACCTTTGTAAAGTGCTTGGGGGGGAGGGAGGGCTGGGACAGAGCAGCTAGCGAAGGACACGGTTTAATAAAATCACAACAGCGATCAAGAACAACAAATAACAGCGGTTCCGAGAGAAGCTGACCCCCTTTAGGAGACGGGCAGCAGCGCAGGCCCTTGCAGGATGTCCGGGCTGCCCCTAGCCCGGCTTTGGGGGCCACGGGAAGAGAAGAGCCCCGCTTGGCCGACCCGTGCTCACCACATTTCTGCAGCCCGTTGGTGTCGCTGGGTTTTGCAGCCGGCCGGTTGCTGTCCTCGGTCTGGGTGCTGCTAGAACAGCCCATCGCGCCTCGTGCCCAGCGCCCGGCGAGGCCGCCAGAGGAACCCCGGCTCCGAGCCTGCCGCGTGCCTCCCTCCGCGCAGCCCGCGTGTTTACAGCTCGCGCTGCGTTGCCATACGAACCGCGCCACCAGCCGCCGCTCCGTTTTCCCAGCGCCAGGGCTCGCAGCGGTGCAGAGCGCAGGCGCAGGCCGCCCCGGGGCGTGGCTTGGAAATAGGAGGTGGGTCGAAAGAGACACGAGTGTTCCCGCCTTTTGTCAGCTCTGTGCAGCCCCCCCCCCTCCCCCGGCGCTGCTGCTGCTGCTGCATCCCTGGCTTGAGGCGGTTTCCGTCCGGATTTACGGTCTGGTTCAATGGCTCTCAGCGCCCCCCTCTCTACAGATTCTTCCAGGACCAGCTCTGCTGCTGAACTGTCCAGTGAGGCAGCAGAGAACAAGCGCATCTCGGACAGCAACAGGGAGGCAGGAGCTGGCAGCCCCAGGAAAGCAAAGCCCGTCTGGGAACCCGCTGCCCCACCCCCGCCCTAGGGCGCCCACAATGGTTTCAGCGTTAATAGCAACAGATCCAAGAGCTAGAGCCACAGTCTGGAAACCCAGCCCCACCAACACTGGCCTAGAGCAGGAGGGAAACTACGAGGAAGGGGGGGACCCTTTCTAGTTTCATTATCGGAGTGGTGGGAAATGCGGAAAGTCAAACTTGCCCAGAGCGAGAATGTGAAGAGTAAAGGTTTTTTAAGTGTTTCAGGTTTAATGATCTGATAAGGCCTCTAAGCATCGTTTAAATACAAATAAAATGATGCACAAAACTTAATTCATTTGGCTTTTGCAAATTTTTCTTTAAAATTTTTGTCAAAAATGTACCAACAGTAAGATGAAAACGTGTGAAATCTTGATTTAAGACAATTTATTCAAGTCTTTTCACTTGCCTTGTACAGTTTTCATTATACTACACGTGTATATATTTTACAATGTACCCGAAGAAGGCTGAGCCTGCAAGCCCTCCATTCACAGCAGTAGTCTTTACTAACCCAAATACTCCTATTCAAATCCCTTTTTGAAGGACTTTGTATGTAGTCTCATACAAAGTGCATCCCAAATCACTTTACTTTTAAATTTACATATAATCATTGACAGATGGTCAGGGAGACAAGATATGCTTTACAATGAGGTGGAAAAGAGCTGCAGAGTAGATTAACCAGACAGACAGAAATTTTGTTCCAGTTGGTTGGAGCTACAGATTACCATAGGGATGAGTGCCATACTCTAGGAGGTTTCAGAGTAGCAGCCGTGTTAGTCTGTATTCGCGAAAAGAAAAGGAGTACTTGTGGCACCTTAGAGACTAACCAATTTATTTGAGCATAAGCTTTCTTGAGCTACAGCTCACTTCATCGGATGCATACTGTGGAAAGTGTAGAAGATCTTTTTATATACACACAAAGCATGAAAAAATACCTCCTCCCACCCTACTCTCCTGCTGGTAATAGCTTATCTAAAGTGATCACTCTCCTTACAATGTGTATGATAATCAAGTTGGGCCATTTCCAGCACAAATCCAGGTTTTCTCACTCCCCCCCCCCACACACAAACCCACTGTCCTGCTGGTACTCCCCCGTCTTGTCCCAGACCCCAGCTGTGGGCCCCCCAGTCCTGACACTCAAGCCCTTTACCCACCAGAGGACAGCTGCGCCCTCCCCAGCCCAGACACACACACCCTGTAACCCCCAGAGACAGCTGGGGGCCCCCCCAGCCCAGACACTCACACCCACTACCGCTCAGAGGACAGCTGCAAACCCCCGGCCTAGACACTCACAGACCCTACCCTCCTAGAGCCCAGGGATACAGAGGGAGAAACAAACTGATGCTGGGCCCAGGGCTTACATGGAGTTTCCTGTGCGCCACTGCTGCCTCCTTCCTCCGGGGCGTGCTGGGAATTGTAGCTGCTGGAAACCCTCCAGTTCCCTTCCCCTCCCCAGCCTTGTCTTCTATTTGCAACCTGGGTTCTGCCGGGTCTAGCAGTCCCTGGTGGTGGCCAACAGCCTTGCAGCCCATTTCTCGGGTGGGTGTGGGGGGAAATTCTGCAAAAATTCTGCATTGCGCAGTGGCACAGAATTCCCCCAGGAGTAACATAATAACTTACACTGACGAACAGAGGAGTAGGCTCTTGAACCAAGAGTGGCAAAATTGTATGACAGAATACTGAGGAGGCAGCCATTGCTAGGGGAGAGGACAAGAGGCAAAATTACACAAGAGGACAAGGTCCAGAGTCAGTGGAGGGCTTCTCACCCTTTTTCTCACATCTTCTTTGTGAAGTAGGGAAGCACGATTCCCTTGATGCTGAGGCTGCCAGAACAGCACTAGGAGTGCTTAGGGGAACTCATGTTTGAGTGGTCATCTACACTCTTTGAGTGAATGCAGCAAAAGCTCCCCTCTCATCCAGGCTATATGGAGTTTCTTCTACAACACCGTTCATTGTGATACCCGAGTGCCCTGCCGTGACAGCTCAGAGGAAAGGGGGTTGGAGAGTAGGGCTCCACATTTGCCCTATCCAGCCCGTTCCCTTTGCACAGGCTAGAGGTCCTTTAGTTCCAGGTTCACAAAAATTAAGACTATGGCTGCCCCAGGTGTGGACATGCAAAGGGAAAAAGTTGCATACACCCTCTTCACCCTTACTAGAATTTGGGCCTAAATCTATAAACACAAATGTTAAATACTGCTCACATTTATGTGTGTATGCAACCTCATTGATGTAAAAGGAAGGTGATTTGGCCTAGAGACTATATTTAAGGCAGGATTTTTCCTTCCAATGTGAAATATGTATTGCCATATGTCTAGGATCTATAATGACAACTGGATTATCATGTGTCTTGAATATATGAGATGTAAAGTAACACATCAACCTAAACATTTTTACTTCCTCCTGTTCTGTAGCTCATATTCATTTTTACATCTTTTTTTAAATGATACACATACTTACAGTAGATATCTTTGTGACTGTTTCCTAAGCCTGTTAATATTAGGTAGTGGGCAATGTAATGCTAGTAATTCTTTAAGAAGCAATATTGATGTTTGCAGTACATTGTTGTGTAGACATGAAGTATCCAAGGAATTAACTAAAGCACAGGAGCTTGTGCAAACAATTGTTTTACAAAGGGGGGGGGGGGGGGGAAACACTTCATTTTATCCCAAAGTGTAAGTCAGGAAATGAAAACAATGACAGAGAAAGGGGAAAAGGATGGGGAGAGCCAGGAGGTGTCAAACAGGAAGCATGAGCAATTGAAAAGGCAGTTTAGGCCGTAGACCCAGCAGGGGAGACCGAACACACCTAACTTAAAAGGAGAAATAAACTCAAAAATAAAAATGAAGATAAGGGGTTCAGAGAGAAGGGGGGGGAGAGAAAGGACAACTGAGGAAAAGGATGTGTTGTTTGGAGTTAAAAATTGATAATGAACAATTAGTGCCTTCTGGAAAAATTTAAATCATTCCATTTAGTAAAATGCCATCTGACAAAGTAAAATACATGGTCTGGAGTTTTCATAGCCATTATTTCTAAAGACTTTACATGGAAACAGATCTTTGCTTCCTTAGACTCCTATCCTGCCAGTATCTGATGATAGAGCAGATTCTTGTGGGGCAACTGGCAGGACTGGGGCCAAAGAGTTCACTGGCTCCAACTGATGCTTTCTTACTTGAGGTCACAATCTGCTGGTTGTGTCATTAATTACATTCACAGAAAAAAACAAATACAGGATTAGGACTTCAAAGGGGCAATAAGCAGCATGAACAGAATTCTTAAGAAGCAAAGACTGATAGTTTATGTGTACTTATGTCCCAATAATAAAGTAATTATATATAAAATATTACATAAGTGGAAGGGCTAGTCCATAAACTAATTTCTAAAGTTTTCCATAAGGTGTCAGCAATTTTTTAAGCTTCTTAGGCCAGAAACTACAGGACCTAACTTGTTTCACTCTTCCTGGAGCTCAGTAGCTAATTGTAATTTTGAACTTTTTATGCAGTGAGCCTGCTGCAACTTGAGACTTCCTACATTTTGATCTCCTATCCAAGTGTTGTCCCACACTCCCAGGACTCACTAGTCTTTCAAATAAGTCTATGGAAGTAGAGTGATCTTTTCCTCAAGCCACAACTCCTTTTCCTAGATCCTTAGGCTATTCTGTACAGAAAGAACAGGATTGCATAGGCTGGACAGCAAATTGTTTGAGAAAGTGCAGGCCAGATTCTCAATTGGAGTAAATTGGGTGTAGCGCCACTGACATTAATTGGGTGACGCTGATTTACATCATCTGAGGATCTGGCTCCATGAAATCCAACTTTTTTAGGTTGCCTGGGACAGCAAAACCTACAAGCATGGTTGACAGAACATGCTTCTTCATTGCCAAGGAAGGTATCTGAAGAGCTTTTCACTAAGACTAACTACAATTTTTAGAAACCTGTAGATGTACACATTTCCTGATAGAATTTGACACTAGGAAAACGTAGATGTATTTTTCTGGTTGGAGAGCTTTTAACACCACTTCAAACTTGGCATTTATGTAGTACTCAATAAAGAAAAGCCTCCTCTGCAAACCTGGAAATAACTGGTCAAGAAGTAAAGTTCTAAATACTTGAAAATAGTACATGTGCAATATGCTACTTTCCTTGCCACTTTAAGCCTAGCTGCATTTAGTGTGCATATATCCAAATATCCACAAATAGGTATTTAACTTCCTGATTTTCCCTGTATCCTGGCCCTTTCCCTCATCTTTTTTTTTTTAATCTTTGTAGTCATTGGATGGATGACAGACAAGAAATGTGAATGCTAATTCAGCAAATACGTACATTAGTAAGGTTCCAGACTCTAATGTTCTGAAACAATGAGATATATTTGTTTGCCTGACAATAAGGGGATAGCATAGTGCATGACGCGATGAAAATTGGATGAACATGTTTGCATTTGCTTTAAATGTGATCATTATCAGAAAACACAGCCTGTCACTTTTAATACTCTTAACAAGTGCAAAAGGAAAGTAATGAATGCAGGTGCCCACATGGAGTTCTTATGTAACTGTCTATTAATTCTGGTGGGGAAAATATTCAAAAACATTAACTTCATTCTTCTTGCGTATTTTTCCTTTATCAAAATAAGTCCAACAGCTTTTATAAGATGCTCTAAAAATCAGGCTGGTCACACTGGTA